ACTCACTTTAAWTTTCATWCAGCAGTAGGCACATTTCATTTTTATGCAGCTACCAGTTTGTGCTTAGGCCATGATCAATTGATCAATACTAGGATGACTATGATAAATCATAATTATAAATCAAGATTAAAAACTTTCGCAAACATTTGTGGCTCGTGAAATCGAAGAAKTAAATTTAGCCTATATTTCTGGAGGAAGCATTGCAATATCTGTGTTTATATGATTAATAAACATATAGTCTGTAAAATCATGTATACCAATATATCCAGCTTGCTGCGTAGACATAATAGCATCTATAAAACAGTCATCCACTTCATTAGATGACAACAACGGCAGGCAAAAAATATCTTTTTAAAAAATTTTCCTTTTTATATACAGTACTATAAACTATTTAACTAAATTTTATAACTGCATATTTCTGGACCAGGCTTGTCCGAGATAGAACCAATATCATTTTATTTTGCTAATTGGCCATAATAGACAAACAGCAGAGTGAATAGATTGTTCAAAATCAATATGAATAGTTGTTGATAGTGTTGGTGAATGTCTTTTTCTAGAACTCAAGTGCTATAAGATAATCGGTAATTGATTTTCCAACCAACAAACGAAAAAATAAAGGTGCGTAAATGCTGATCATCACCCCGCGAACTACGAATAATTGAGTAAATAAAGATGGGTAGCTTGAAAAATTACCAACCATCAAAACAACATGGCACTGTTAAAAAAAATTWAATTTTTTAATAATGAGAAGTACACAACACTTTTATTAGTATTATTTTCAATAATCCTTTTTATTCTCCCTTGRTCTATTATTGATTTACTAAATGGGTACCATCGCATAAAATTTTATACGAGTTTTAAATAATTTTGAATACTTAATCATACGAGCAGTTTGAATATTCTTTCGGATTAAATGTATGTGTCAAGTTTATTCAAATCATCTGGTGAAATCTCAGAATGTATAACTTTTCTGGGACATTCACATAATCGCTCTACAGCTATGTGCTTGACACTATTGCTAACCTTCCGCCCTACAAATGATAGTTCATCAACAGCCACGTGATTATTTTTAAGATTATTTTAATTTGAACACAGTATGTATTAAATTTAAAAATTGCATTACACGATGTTTGGTACGTGCCTACCATTAAACTTCATTGCTCATTATGCGGTGAAAACGGAACTTAATCCCGTCAATCACGCGTAACACTTAAATTTTTTCACTTAATATTAAATATTTGTTTATTTAATAAAAACTATAGATTTTTAAACAGTGTGATGCCCAGAAAAGGTAAGATCATAGTTAAACTGATTTAAAATATTTTTAGCAGTCCTATCAAAACCTTAACTCATAATCATAATGCTAATAAACGATCGCTTCAATAAAATCAATAATACTATTCCTATATTATATTAACTATCAATATCTATCACAATCGCAATGTCTTAAAAATCATAGGCTTAGTAGAAGATGTAAAAGTAGTTGCGCTCATATTTAGTGATAATAATTGGATTCTGAATATAAAATATTTTGATGAAATTATGATAAATATTTTTTTATTTTCATGTATTCAATTATAGTTGATAATAAATTATAATAGATTAAACACAGAAAATATCGATGTCTTATTAATCTGCGAATTTTACGAATTACTGTCTTAGTATAGTTATAAATYATATATAGATGAAATTATGGTATCGGTTAATTTATCAATAGGGCCAACTATTAATTATTTACTGTAGTATTAGATACAATAAGTCAATAAATCAACTTTAAAAACGTACATTTGCTGTAAGTAAATTGCTTTAACAATTATTAGATACACTTAACTATTTTTCATACATTTTTTTACAGTTACCTAAATGAAATATTTCAAAAATAATTATATGATGACATTTTAAAACTTTTGTGATGCTGCAAGTAAATGATACTACTACCGATTTGTTATTCGCAAGTTCTAAACTCTTAAAATAAAAAATCTTTATTTTCATATTATTTGCGAAAAATACGCACAACTTGCATATTATACCTACGCTGCAGTTATAGTGGAATATTGTTTTATTCAAATCTTAGCGAATTGTGATTTATATTACTAATCAGTTACGTTTCATGATAGGTACCTAATCGAAAACACTATATAAATCAGTATAAATAAATAATAATTAATATCATACGGGYAACAAGTGGGTCGTAGGTCCAAGTTAATAATAGTATTACCACAAACATTGTATATAACATATTATTATATTTAAAACATTTTACGCCAGGACCGCCTTATAATATTATAATACTGTAATCAGTGTAAACGGTGTATTATTATTTTTAATTTAAAAATAATGATTAATGATTGGATTCAAAAACGATTATGAGCTTAGATTAATGTTTCTTATAGTTATATTAGAACTTAACCTCGGCCGTCAAACATAAAAAATATATAAATTGAGATTTTAAATCTTTGGGTAACATGTTTTATAATATTCATCTAAAAAATAATTTACATAGTAATTATTCAATTACAATAAGAGTACCTAAATGGCATATCATAATAAATCACGGGTGATGAACATGTTAAAGTGTATAGTTATAGGATTTATTTTGTTCTAAATAACATGAAAATGTAACGAAAATCTATTACAAATTTTAAATACAGATACTGATGTGCCAGCTGTAGTTATTTTAACATATAGATAT